ATTACTGTATATGTCAAACTAGAATTTATCTGTACAATAAATTTAAGTTCGTTAAAATATATAAAGTACCAAGTTTTTTTTTCAAAAATTACAAAATTGTAAAATCAGTAACAATCGCAAATATGCCAAAATTATCAAAGCAAAAACGTCATATGAATTACATGACATTTCAATGAAGTGAAATCCAAAAAATTAATAAACTTATACCTCAAATTAATCCTGAATCTCTTCCAAATATCCGTGAAATTCTTCTAATACAATAAATCATTCAAAAAGAAGAGGAAATATTTAATAATATTCGCAAACTGCCAAACCTACAAAAGAACAATTCATTAAATTTAATCGAAACAATGCAAAATCTGAAAGGAAAGCATAAAAATGAAATTATTTCAGTTTATCTCCAAAAGAAAGCCCTCGAATTTATTACAGATAATTGTAAAAATTTAAAAGCTGACAACGCAAAACTGAAATCAGCAAACTGAAAACTAATAAGAAATAATAAAATTCTAATACAAAAATCTAGTCTATTAGTAGCTCAAATTAACACCTTAAAAATAAAGTAGATAGTTGACTTTCAACTATAAGATCATTAATATGCCAATGAAAAAAATTACCTAATGAAGAAGTTAAACGCCAAATAAACATGTTATTTAAAACAAATAACAATAACTATTCACCTAAAATGGTTTAGCTATCAACAAAAATCTCACAAATCGAACAAACCTCACTAACTGCTACTGTCAAATCATTACATCTTATTTACGAATTCTTGGTAGAAGAACCTCCACGTAATTGGTTATCAGTATCTACTCTATGCACCTGGCATCAAGAAGTAACTCAAATCGAAATTAAATATGCGATAGATCAAATTACCAAATGCTCCTGTTTTGGAATATTAGTTGATGAGTCAACTCGTGGGAAAGTAAAAAACTTCATTATGTATATTATGTTTTGGGATTATAATAAGAATATGCCATCAGTCATTAATGCCAACCTTGAACATTTGCAAAATTGTACCAGCAAGTCAGTATCTGACACTGTTCTTAATTCTATAATAAATCACGGACTTGATCCCAAAAAATGTCTAGCTTGGGTAACTGATAACACTGCATATATGTCCGGTAACATACACAGGTCGAATGAAGAACTACCGGGTAGATATCAGTACACCGATATGTACTGATAGGTGCCCTGTAGTAAAATGATAGTTTACCGATAGTTAACTCCGATATGTATCTGATATGACTCCTATATTAAACAGAAATTTGGCTTGTATAGGATACCTATCGGATAAATATTGGCATCATATCAGTAACATATCAGTGCCATATCAGTACTCTGATATGTGATAGAGAAAACCTGATATGTATCCTATGTTTCTCTAAAACCAGATACATATCAAATTATGTAAAAAATAATCAATATAAAAAAACTATTTATTAAAATCAAATTTATATAAAATTTATATAAATTATAAATTTTTATTTACAAA